CCGCCCTACGCGAGATTCGGACACAGGACCTATCAGTCTTGCGCGTGAGCGCTTAACCATTAGATCACTGAGCCGGCCAGCATCCAACGGTGTTAATGTCTAACTTTAACTAATCCAACAAATTGTATCACCGTCGCCATTGTCTTCAGTGAGCTGATATCTCACAACAGACCTGGTTGAACTCCACTGATCACAGCTTTTCACTAGAAATCCAGAAGTGTCTCTTGAAGTCAGTCACTAGTGAGCAGATGATTCTTATCAGAAGGGGTTTTTTGTGGAGATTTTAGTAATTTCAATAGTTGAAATCATTGAACAGATCAAACATATTAACATTAATCAAATATTGACAATTAGGTGTTCAATATCAATTACCTAATATCTTACAATGATATTAGGCTTTTTCTTCATTAAAGCTAACTATCTTTTCAATGTGTATTAGAGTAAATAGATAAGTATAAAACTATAATGATCTTTTACCAGATATATAAAGTTTTCAATCAATCTATAATAATAATAATAATAATTTTAGCTTCATATTTTAACGTCATAGTGTTATTAATGATTAACTTTGAGCAGTAAGTCATGTGATCAACTTGCTTACATTAAGTGAAATCTACTTATTTAAGTAACGAAGAGAAAAGGAGTGTGTGTGTGTATGTGTTAGAACAAATACGGATACTGATTGTAGAGAGTTAATATAAAAACATTTTGCAGGTGAATGCAATAAAAGGGAAGTAAAACTATTTACTTTATGACCAGTTGTTATGGTAACACACTTCATTTTGTTTTTATCTGTTTCTAGTTAAAGATTTTTATTCTACTTAAAGCTTCTAGAAATAATCTTATATATCAAATTGTGATATGGAATTATCTATTTATTTATTTTGATGGAAATATAATAATATTATCGGGAAAGGATAAAATACTATCCACAAAACACCCCTCTTTGTTTATGATCATCATATGTTCACTAGTGACAGTTTCCAAGAGGTATTTCCTGAGGTTCTGGTGAGAAACCATGGCCAGTGGAGTTCAACTAGGTCAGTTGTGAGATATCAGCTCATTGATAACAATGGTGGATGGTGGTGCAACTTCGTGGATTGGTTGAAGTTAAACATTAACACCGTTGTAGAAAATTAGATTTTCTGACACTGTTGGATGCCGGTTCAGTGGTCTAGGAGTGGATTCGAATCTCACCAGGTGGGATTGTGGATACGCACTAGTGAGGAATCCTATACAAGGACGAAACCGCCGCCCAGGACTTCCAGGTTTTCCATAATGATCTGGCTTCAATTGACTCATGAATTCAACTATTAAATTACTATAATATCCAGAAAACCCCTCTTTGATTAATATACTATCTTGTTATAGTATTAAACCATATATTCTCGAAAATTCTTATGATTATAGAAGTATAGCGAGGTCGTTGATTTACTAATGACCAAGAGACAATGAGTTGAATAAGTGTTTAGTGTAACAGATGTAATGCTAATACATTTTGACAGTAATATTATCTGAGGGTTAAGGAATCTCTGTGACTAGCAAATCCTGGATTCTATCCTCTATGAGGAGTCGTGGATGAGAACTGCCTGGGACGAAACACCGGTCCCATGTTTTCTGGTGTTTAATGGTTTTTTAATCAAGGTCTGCTTGTAAGGAAAATAAGGAAATCGAATACTCTTCACAAACCCTTCGTTCTATTATTAAAATCAATTTCTTAAGATATATTTCCTGGAGTTCTAGTGCAAAGCCGTCACCAAAGGAATTCAATACCGTGAATCGATTAAAGTTAGGAATGGATATTATTGATTAGGTCTTCATCAAGAGATTTGCAGATGCTACATTTGATCTTCAGTCAGTTAGTAAATGTACACCACTAAGAAACCGTATATTAAGACGAAACAGCTGTTAGATACTATCTAACTATTAATGATACTCTAACTGAAACTCATCTATGATGTATTCAATTTACAAATGAAAGTGAATGGTATTAAAAACTACCTCAACTATATTTAATTACTTTGATTTTCATTAGTGTTCGTGACCGACAATTATAACATGCTTATCTGGTTAATCAGACTAAACCAACTGTCTTATATCTATCATGATATATATATATATATATATATATATATATATACTGTTCGGTTTAACACTTATTACTAACAGTTTTACTAGATGGTGGTTGGAGGTAGTCGACAGGAAACTCTAAACTCGGGTTTCGTGCTACTTGGCACTCGTCAGAAAGGTGTACCTGTAATCTTAAGGGAACTGGTGCTCCCTGGCGGATTCGATCTCGTGTCACCCAGCTTCACAGTCAAAGACGTTACCACTGAGCTTTCCTAGCCGCGACCGACCTCCTTTAGGACTGAGATGTAATCACCATTGATTAATCACTGGGTGATGATCAATGTCATGAGTGTCTAGTCCTTATTAGTGCAGATCGAATGCTATCGATCATGTTGCGATGTGGCCACCAGTCTAGGTGACTCGACACTGCGTGCACTATATATTGAGATTAGATGGTGGTTGAAGGTAGTCGACGGGAAACCCTGGACCCGGGTTTCGTGCTACTTGTCATGTTGCAATGATCGATAACATTCGATCTGCACTAATAAGGACTAGACACGCATGACATTGATCGCCACCCATTGATCAATCAATTGTGATAACAGTTTTACTACATTCAGATGAATGATTCCTATATTTGTTCGTAATATATTTCAATCATGTTATCAGTTAAATTAGTTTCTTCATAGAACTTCAAATTAAAAAGAAGTACATGAATTATCTTTCCATTTTCTTTGCTTCTCTTTCTTTTTTCTTTTTTGAAAGAGGTGGAGGTCTCTTGAACTTCTCTCTCAACAGAACTGTCCTTAAATTGAAATATTTCAATGTTTATATTCTCTATGTATATAGTTTTGGGGGGAAATTAGTTAATCATCAATTCATTGAATATAAACACTGAAAATGATTATCTCTATTCGTATGTAACGCTTAAAGTAAGCATTAACTATAAACTGGATAAACAAAAAAACAAACAGAGTTAGGCGTAACTTTACAATAGAAAGTGAAAAAGATAATTTCTTTTCATAACTCCTTCATTGTTTCACTATATTTTTAATCAGTTAGTGAAATAAAATAGAGAGAAATAAATCGATTGTCATAAAATTCAATATAAAAGTACAGAAGAAGGGGGATAAAACTTGAGGTGAAAAAATTTTTTTTAATGGTTGAGATCATGAGTTCATTGAAGCTAGAACATCATGAAAAACCTGAAAGCACTAGATGAACGTTTCGATTTCGTGGATTACTTGAAGTTAGACATTAACACCTTTACATGCCAGTTCAGTGATCCAGAGGTTAGGCGTTCGCTTGCAAGATCGATAGTTTTCGAATCGATAAGATTCGAATCTTGCGAGGTAGGATCATGAATGTGCACTGCTGAGGAGTCCCACAATAGAACGAAACGACCGTCCAGTGCTTCAAGGTTTTCCATGGTGGCCTAGTTTCAATTGACTCATGATTTTAACTATTGAAATTACTAAAATCTCCACAAAACTCCTTCTGATAAAGAAAAATTGATTAAGTAACGATTGAATACAGTTATGATATTTTGATAATAAAATAAATAAATTTTGGTAGAGGTTTGCTCTCTGATCTGGATAGTTTGGCCGTTAAACTTTCATCGTTCTTTTGAACGACATCTATCAGCACAAAATTTAGGTGAATAGAGAAATATTTCTACAGATGTTTTGTTTAAATTTGTTAATTTATCAACAGTCCAATTGTGAAGGTTAGACATTTAGTGTCTATATTAGGGAGGAACACTAAGTTTTTTTAAGATCTATGATACATAACGTATGTTTAATTTCAATGAAGTGTATGATTCACGTGAGGAAGCTATGAAAGCTTCCATATAGTGAAGCTCAGAGAGGTTATGCATTCTTAAATAGAGTCATGTTGATCATTATGTTAAAAGTTTGTAATCTTTCACTGTTGATTTTTGAAACCTCAGTTGATCAGTCTCCATTTCTATATGGGCATCCTGAACAGATAGCGTCGATACGAAATTATGTCACAAATGTTTTAGTATATTTGGTATGCAACTAACAGTAGAATATAGGACATGCGTTTTATCATGATTGAGACTTGTCAATTGAGTGTACCTGTACTCCGATGTTAATGTTCATATTGAGACACGAACCAAATATCTTTTGATCAAAACTTCTAACGCATTATCTTATCCATGGAGCCAATAAGCTCGAATAGCCACAAACTTATTGAACGAGTATGAAGTTATTGATGTATATAGATGTAAAGGTTTGAGTTCCATCGTTGTTAATATAAAATACTGCATTTGTTAGCCTCTGTTGCCATATATGCACCCTGAACGGATTAACTCAATACTGCCTGTTAGATTCTCATTATGAACATCAATACTAAGATCCAGGTATATATAAGTGACGAGTCCCAAATGGAACGAAACGGATGTCCTGGATTAAAATGATAGTCAAAATTCAACCTTGATGAAATCTGTATATAAAAGAAATATTCAGATAGTTCACGCTCAGGGGGTGTACATCTGACAATAAAGGCTGGTTAATTCTCATCTTCAGTATCAACTACAGACAAACTCAAACCCTTACACATAGGTCTAAAATTTGATCTTACTGTTGGCAAACAATTCAACCCTAGTTAATGACTCCGGTCTAAACCAAGAGAAAATTCGATATTAAGTGAATTCATTACAAACAAAATGAAAAAAAGTCAATATTGATTAAAATAATTATTGAGGTGTTAAACGTTTCTGTAATAAACATGCACACCCTTCTCATACTAATAAAGGATAAACTATGCAAAATCATTATGAAAAAAAAGAACCGGTATCATAAGTGTTTTCAGTATCATGAGAGAAAAAACGAGATAACAATATATATATATATATATATATATATATTTCTAGGTCACCCACATAAATACATCACGCGCATACCTACCTGACTGTGAATTCATCGATGAGGGTACCCGCATTTTTCCACTTAAATTTAACAGTTTATTTGTTGAATTATGATTGCCTGTTCTTGATTCACCATCATTATTGTAACCATTAGTTGGTGTAGTTTTAACTGCTGAGGAAAACGAAATTGAAGCTGGAGATTTTAATGATGATGATATTGTTGTGGTGGTGGTGGTGATGGTGGTAACTGGGACAAACAATGAGGAAGGCTTTGATTTATTTGTCAGATTATCATCAACAGAGTGATTATTAGCATAGTATTTTGAATTATTTGACGATATAGAAGTATACGATTGTATTAAAGATTTAACAACTGAACTGGATGATGGTGAGGATGATGTTAGTGTCTGAGTCGTCAAAATCGGTGTCGTTGCGGTCATTGTTGTCTTTATCGTAGAAGATGTTGGAATGGGAGAACATGCATCAGTTGTCTTTATTTCTGAACTGTCTATAAAGTTTATCGATGATAACGAAGACGATGTTACTGTATTATTAGTTTCATTACTTCTACTGTACAAATGAAGACGACTGGATGGTGCTAACGAGGATTGTGATAGACAAGTAGGAGTCACGGCTTTTTTACTCATAAAGGCTAGAGATACCGATGGTGATGATGATACTGATGAAGAAGGTGAAGAAATAGTTGATGGAGTTACTATTGAAGATGATTCATTTGGTGTTGTATATGGAGTAACTGCTGGTGATGTTGTAGTTATCGTTGATGTTGGTGATGATGACGATAATGTTAACGATCCTAATGAAGACTGTGCTCTTATATGCTTAGAATTAAGTTTTACTAAATTATCAAGAGTATCTGTAGAAAACTGTGTATCATTAGTGCTAATTGGTGTCTCAATGTTTGCAGAATTGTGTAAATCTTTTTGTTTGTGACTACGTGCCGGTAATGGAAGTACATTAATTGCTCCTGCTAAACGTGAACCACGACGTGGTGGACGTGGTAGATTATCATAAAGATTTGATGATATATTCACTGAATCTTGATCATTCTTAGGCTAGAAAAAAGAAAAGAAATAAAATGTAAAAACAATATAATCATTTCGAAAAACAGGATCTTTACAAATGTATCCACTAATACAATAGACTCAACTCATTTGAATGAATCGATACACAAATATTAAAGTACACCAAAAACTACTAAAATATTGATTTATAAGGGTTTTTATTTTCTTGGTATTGATGTCAATATTTGGAAGAGATCTGGTTCCATTAGGATATGTGCATTCTGAAGTTGAACAATGGCTGGTAGTGGTATCCAGGATGCCATTTTTGTTCGGTTTCGCACTCAACACATGGACACACTGAAAGCAAGAGGTACTAGGTTCGAATCTCTTTGTGAATATCAGCACTGGTAATCAATTACATTCAGTTTAAGTCCCAAATATTTTCTGTCAGATATTTGGAGTTGAAAATGTAAATCCAAATGTATGGTATATATTTTCTGCTTACAACTAGTAATAAAAATCTATGGCAAAATAACCTCATCCAGTCAGTTCGCTCAGGATGTGCATATATGTTATTAAAGACTGATCGAAATTCACTCCTGAATATCAATAACAAAATCATTCAAACCCTTGCCAATCACAGCGTATAATTATAGTTGTAATAATTAACACCGAATCATTCCGTCACCATTCGATGCTCAATTAAGTGTTCGTATACATAGAATAATGGCTGGACAAATTCACTTGGTGTTGTTTTACTTGTCCTAAATAACAATGGGAAAATACAAGTAAAACAACACCAGATGAATTTAAACTTCACCCCATTGTACATACAGGTGGCTATCAGGACACAATATCTTAATGAAGAACGCGATGGCGTTTGAAACGAACAGTACTGGGTTCGAGTCCCGGAGTGAATATCAACTCTGGGATGCAAGTATATCTAACTGACGCGCTTTCTAGATTCCACTGCTATTCACTATCCATTTTTGCTTATAATGGCTAGACAGTTAAGAGATCGAAGAATCAATGATAAATCCGAAGTTATAAGTCCCTATTACTTGTAGGGTGACTACTTTATCTGTTATAAGTAGTCGATATACTGAGTTTTCATACAAACGATCAAAATTTATATACATTCAACCAAAACTCATTTTGTCTTAAAACTAATAAGACGATAATCAATTCCGAACAGACAAAATATCATAAAAACAAGTGAACCATTTTTTGCATTCATTACTTATGAGTCACATAATCGGTGTTCAATAAAAATATGTTCAAACAAATTAAATAGTTAACAGGCATGTTTTTCGTGTAGTTAACATTCGAAAAGAAAGTAATAACTAGTTTTAGCACATAGATATTTGTGGATATTGTAGAATTTTCATAGTTTATATCATGGACTGGTTTCGCTTAGAACATCGTTGGAACCTAGAAGCACTGAAAGACCGTGTCATCTTAGTGTATGTGACTCAGCAGGACTCGCCCACAACGTTGTACCTGGGAATCGAACCCAGGACCTATGGTTTAGACTATGAAAATTCTACAGTCACTCCAAATCTCCTATTACTACTAATAATAATTATTCACTCTCTGGTAACTAGCTTCAAGTTCTAGTGAGAAACTGTGACCTGTGGGTGTTGGGTGTCCATATCAGATGTGAGGTAGTTATCTACCACAACCAAAGGAATTTGGTTGTGCAATATCGTGAATTGATTAAAGTTAGGCAATAGCACCAGTGGATTCCGGGTCAGTGGTCTAGAGGTTAAGTGATCGTGAGGGAGACCGAAGTTCCTGTGGTCGTGCACGTGCATTTCCGAGGAATCCCATACCATACAAGTACATCCAGGTTTGGTGAATATGGATGACATGTACACAGAGACTAGTGAAGAATGACACCGATACTATTGAATGGGTCACATTTTTGATAATTAAAGTTTGTTTTCTTTTAATACATTTTAAACGAGTGAAATTATGACCGGTTTATAAACTAGCTTTTAGATATTAAAATGAAGTTTGTATCATGACAAAAATAAGATCAAAAGACTAGAGAGCAAATGCTGTTACAGCCATAAAGAAATAAATTGGTAGCTGGGATGAAAAAAAACTCAGAAAGATCCCTTAGTTATCGAAAAATTACTGGAAAAACAGAAAGTGACTTCGGATAGCGCATTTATTTAATTATTAGTGTGAGACAGATTGTTGAAATGTATAGTTTACATCAATAACTGGCCTTCGTAACATATGAGCCTTATAAGCTAGGAAGCACTGGAGAGTTGTTTCGTCCTAGTATAGGGCTGCTGTGTGATAAGCGTCCATATGCTAATTATTCACTAATTTTTAGACATAGTTTTGACGTTTTAATGAGAAGCTGAGGCTGGTGGAGTGAGACAGATACTCAATAATGACAATGGATGAGAGTCCAGTAACAGAGAACTAGTTCAAGTTAGACATCTTAGAAATCGAATACTAACACAATGGTCTGAAGGTGGGACCATACATGTAAATTACTGAAGAGTTGCGTACTAAGACGAAACAGCTGTCCACTGCTGCCATGATATAATCTATAATATTGAGTCATTAATTGAACAGTTACAGTCTTCTAAATTTAGGAGTTTGCCGTAAAAACCATAGTCCCTTTATTTCCGAAGGTCAAACATCCAAGCTCTAATATCCACAGTTGGATACTTCCACATACTCAATAAACTACTTATCTCAACTAATATGTATGTTGGAGTTGGTTAGAGCTAGACCATCATGAAATATCTAGAGTACTTGACGGCCGTTTCCTTCTACTACGGGATTCCTTAGCAGTGCGCGTTGATGATCCCACCTCGTGGGACTCGAACACATGACTTGATGGTCTCTCATGCGAACGCTTAAACTCTGTATCACTGAGCCGGTATCCAACGGTGTTAACGTCTAACTTCAACCAACCCATGAAATTGCACCACCATCTACTATTGTCTCCAGTGAGTTACTGCCTCAAAGCAGACGCGGTTGAACTCCACTGGTCACTGTTTCTCACTAGAACTCCAGGAAATCCGTCTTGATGCCAGTAACTGATGAGCACATGATAATTATTATCAGAAAAGGGGCTGTTGTATTCTGAAGGCATCACTGTACGATCATTCGGTTACCAATATTACGCTGCTTTTATTCAGGCATCATCAATAACGCTTTCAAAAAATGACTCTTGTTGAAAGTTCTACACTTCAAAGACGCATTAATTAAGTACATACAAAAACTACTAGAAAATAATTGTTACAAGAGGTCGAAAGAAACTGACAAAAATCTAACATCTTCAGTTTCATCTGAGACTGACTATAAAGAGGGAGCAAATATCTGGTAATAGTAGTAGTAGTAGTATCACTGTAATGAAACTCCACCTCAAACCGTGTAGTTAAAATGATGAGTAAAATGTTTCGACATTTTATAACAGTGTATTTTAAATCCGATATCTGACAGAAAAAACAACTTCGGATGTGCATAGTGCTTATTTTTGACTGTGACTAGTAATAAGGTATATATTTAAAAACATAAGAGAAGTTGAACTCCACCTGTGGTCTTTAGAAGATTAATGCCAGTACCAAGCCCAGATAAGGAGGGGGTTGGACATGAGGTCAGCAACCCCATCCCGTAGAGACAAACCTTACTTAAAAAAGCACTAACCAGAAAAACCATTTAAACCATTTAAACTCTGCCCTGAGGGCTGAATAGTTTTCATTTAGAAGAATAATGATGCCTCATGATGAAGGGCGATATTCTTCAGGAGAGAAGCTGCTGTACTCTGGTCGCGAAGAAAAAAATGCTCTGCACACTCAAGAAGTTGCTTTGAAGCTGTCTGAAGAAGAACAAAGAGCACTTAAATGATCTCATTGACCTAGAATCTTCAAAATGAAGAAAAAGGGGTTACAATGAATATTATCCAGTGCTATCCGTCCATCAACTATAGCAATGAAGACGATAAAAATCAGTTTTATGAAAAGCTGCAGTCGATCACCGATAAACACACATGAAAAAAAAACCATAATGATGGGAGACCTAAACGTCAAGGTTGGAATGAACAACAACAGGTATGAAGATATCATGGGACGACATTGACTGGAAGAAATGAACTAGAATAGTGAAAGATTTTCGAATTTATGTGCCTTCAACAAAATGGTTATAGGTGGCACTACATTACCCCACAAACACATAGACAAAGCTACATGGGTCTAAACGGATCACGCGACAGAGAACCAAATTGATTAGATTTCAGAAGATCCATGGGAGATGTAAGAACAAAGAGAGGAGCGGATGTAGCTTCAGATCACCACCTGGTTGTGGTCAAAACGTGACTGTGAACCTAAAGAAGCACTGTACATCAACTTTCTTGACTATGAGAAGGCGTTTGATAGTGTGGATAAAAGGACTTCACGGAACCTTCTTCGACACTATAGTGTGCGTGAGAAAATCGTTAACATCAAACGGAATTGATATTACGCACTACACTGCAATGTTGTGCATGGAGGACTGCTCACAGATGCATTCCAAGTGAAGACTGGTGTCAGGCAAGGCTGCCTACTCTTTTTCTCGTTCTTCTGGTGATCGATTGGATTATGAAGATTTCCACATCTAAGGGGAATCATGGGATGCAATGGACTACTTGGATGCGGTTAGACGATTTGGACTAAGCAGATGACCTAGCTCCCCTATCCTATACACAGCAACAAGTGCAGGTAAAGACAGCCAGTGTGGCACCAGCCTCTGCAGCAGTACGCCTCGATATTCACAAAGGAAAAGGCAAGATACTCAAATACAACACGGAGAACATCAACCAAATCACACTTGATAGAGAAGCTTTGGAACAGGTGGAAACGTCCACTTACTTTGGCAGTATCGTTTATAAACAGGGAGAATCTGAAATTTTGAAGGCACGAATCAGCAAAGCAAGAGCAGAATTACTACAGATGAAGAACATATGGAACTCAAAACGACTGTCAACCAATATCAAAGTCAGAATCTTCAATACGAACGTCAGGACAGTTCTACTATACAGAGATGAGACTTGGAGGATTATTACAACCATCATAAAAAATACAGGTATTTCTAGACAATTGTCTACGCAAGATACCATCAGAAGCAGTCTTCTGTGGAATAAAACAAGCCAGCGTCTAGCTGAAAAGGAAATTAGGAAAAGACGATGGGAGTGGATAGGATATACATTACGGAAATCATCGCACTGCATCGAAAAGCAAGCGCTAACTTGGAATCATGAAGGCAAAAGGAAATTAAGAAGACCAAAATACAAATTCCATCGGGAATTGGAGGCAGACATCAAAAGAACGACCAGCAGTTGAAAACAACTGAAAAGGGCAGCCCAGGGCAGAGTTCGTTGGAGAATCCTTGTCGGCAGTCTATGCTCCCACGAAAAGTAAAAGGGGTACGTAAATATGTAAGATAAGTTGTGTTGGGGATGGAATATTACGGATGTGAATTCAACTGAGAAGAGTTCAAAGTTCTCGACCAGAGAAATTCCAAGCATGATACAGTATGTTTAAAAGCAAGGCACTCAGAAAAATCGATAATTAGTAGATATATTGCTAGAGACTTAACTTAAAGAGCCAATATGAAGAAGGTCAATTAGTCACATAGTCAGAGGTAGGTTGAATAAGACAGTTAACTTGAATACAATGACAAATAAAAACAACGGAAGTCAGTCAAATAACTACTCACAAAGTCATTAAGACGAACCAATTGACCGCTTATAGAATAACTATGGAGATAAACTCTATATGAAGTAAAAGTCGATAATATTATCCAGAATGACAACAAAAGCTTTATGATTACATCATATAACTTAGAGAATCCGGTAAAATCAAAAACTTAAAGGTCATTTACTCTAGTGTTTAGAAAAACGCAAAAATGAATTTACAGATTAAAAAATAACGTTCAAAGGAGTAACGAACACCAACTTACTACTACTGCTTTACACAAAGTCGCTTTAAATACTTCATTTTTATCATTGGTATTTGATGGAATTACCTGTGAATCGACATCATCCGATGATTCCGGAGTGGCTTTCGGAGGAAAAGACTCTGATACACCACTACTTCCATTATTATTATTGCTTCTATTACCACCATTAATAGAATTTGAACTAGATCGTAGCATTGCAGATTCACTTGGTAATTTTGTACGCTTAGATCTTGCACGTGGTAATGTTCCATGAATACTACCATCTAATTGATCATTATCCAAATTATCATTTGTATTAACTAATGATTCGCCTACTTTGGTATGATGATTAATATTATTAGGAAGAGTGCCACTATCATTATTATTAGTAGTAGTATTGTTATTGGCATGTAACTCTAAATTACTCAATGTTAATTGACTACGTTTAGTACGTTGTTTCGCTTCCAATGCTAATTGTCGTATTTGTGTAACTAAAGCATCAACTGGTTGACCATTTGGTGGACTACATCTAAAGAAGAATTTGCCATCACCAGTGGAACATCTTCGACCAGCATCAACACGTAATACACCATTGGATGCACCAAATCTACAAATGTAAAAAAAATTTGTTATTGCTAAATGTGAATGGTTCATTAAAACAAATAGGACTTTTGAAAATCATACTACTGGGAATTATTATATATGATTATTACTATTACTTTCATTACTGTATACTAAATATATATATATATATATATATATATATATATAGAGAGAGAGAGAGAGAGAGAGAGAGAGAAAGTCAAAAATGGACTCTATCAAAGCGGGCAAAATAAAAAAAGTCCTGAATTCAAAACATTTATCCAGACTAGTCACAGTCAGTACTAGCGAAAAGAATTGAAGAAATTCGTAGATGAGTAGTAATGAGGGTTTTCTATGCTTTCATGTAACATTCCCAAAGATTAAAAGTTCTTTCAAGCTAGAAAAAAACTTCTAGGATCTAAAGCTACTAAGGAAAATTAATCGTCAAATGATTATTATTAAAATCATTTCAATAGTACGTTAGATAAGCTAATCAAACTTAAGAGAATAAACTATAAGGAACTGGAACATACCATCAATTATGATTGACCCATATGTTTAACTACATAGAATGAAGTTAATACTTATTCTAGGAGAAGAAATTCTATGCATTAAACAGATTATGACACAATCACTATTGAATTTAGTGGTTAATTCCAGTGTAAAATTATTATACCTTACGTTATGAGTAATGAGGTGCCAATATTTTAACATTAAGTGGTTTTTCATTTATTTCAGGACTTGCTCATAGAGAACCTTAAACCAAACTCCCACCATTTGCTTAGTGTATATCAAGTTAACAATAAAATTCGAGAATGGGGGTTCGTGGAGATTTTAGTAACTTTTAACAGTTGAATTGATGAGTCGATTTAAGCTGAAAGGACTAGACGGCCGTTTCTTCATTATGTGTTCATTAGTGACTAGCTTCCTGGAATTCTAGTGAGAAGCCGTGACTAATCGAGTCCTATCTGTATCACTTGAAGACAGTTATCCACCTCAAACAATTGATGAACGGTTACACAAGGTCATGGATCGATTGGATTTAGACATTAACACCGTTGGATGCCGACTCAAAGGTCTAGAGGTTTAGCGTATACGTGCAAAACCGAAGGTTTTGAGCTCGGGTCCTATGTGCAGGGCCGTGATTGTGCACTACTGAGGAGTCTCACACTAGGGCGAAACGACCATACAATGCTTCCAGGTTTTTAATGGTGGTCTAGCTTAGATCGAATCATGAGTTCAACTATTAAATAAGAAATTCTAAAGAAAAACCTCAGTAAAACGCTTTATATTACTGAGAAAAATATATTTGAATGGAATCACTTCTCAACTTGAAAAAAGTAACATTTAAATATAAGCGTACCAAACCTATTGTGTAAAGAGGTATTCAAGAAGATAAAGTGTAACAAACACTTCAACTTTTGCCATTTACTTAAAATCTATCATATTCACGAAGTTATTACAAGACATGTTCTTCAATGTCAAATCTTATACATATCTGTGGAACTAAACAGTTCACAATATTTCACACGGTCACAGACGTTTCAAATTGGATATCTACTGACTGATAAGCCATTTTAAGACAAACTGTCAGACCATTCAGTCAAACATAAGCAACAGAGAAAATGACACATCTACGCATCAATTTAGTGACCACATCATAAAAACTTAATAAAATGAAATTATTGGCGTAAATGTCAGAGTATTAGAATAAGTGGCAGTAACAATGGTTGAGAATATTATATACAGAAAATATGTTTCAAGAAGAAATAGTGAATTCGTGGGATAGTAAAATTCGGGTATCTTTAAATTTCGGGATCTAAAGGAAGACAAAAGGTAAATTAATCTGTGCCATTGTGATTAATTCTCAGCCATTTCACCCAAAGTCTACGATTATTATTACGGTAATCTCGAGAACCACAACTTGATAAACAGAACATACCAACACGATTCTGTCCATTAGTCAATGATTCTTTCACCGTGACATTGAAGCCTATATCACCCAGCTTCGAGACTGAGACATTACCATTGTGCTATTCAGGCCTTGATTGACTTTATGTAGGACTGTGATATTTACAACTGATCGGTCATAAAGCAATGATCAATGTTATATTTGTCAAGTTCCTATATGTTTATCAAATTCTGTCAATCAATTTTCAAAGTACTATGTGAAGCTGGGTGACACTTGTTCAAGTCGAACAGAAAGAATCAGTTTCATCAAAACTACAGATATGCTTGGTTGGCAATTTCCAAATAGCATTAAATCGAGGTCAGATTAAATATCCTACCAACTATTTTACATTTCAGCACTGTTCAAATGATATCAAGTCACTTATATTAACATTTGCATTGTCGTTTCAGTTCATTAGTAGCACTACAGTACTCGATAAACATAACATTAGTCATTAGCCAGTGATTAATCCATTGCAAACAATGGAACTTGTATAAAATTGAAAGGGAAGAAAAAACAGAAACGCTAATTAAATATGACGGTTGCAGCTTTTTTTATCACAGACGGACAGAAACATACACACAAACATGATAAAGCATTAAACATATCCGAAATTCAAACTTTTCTTACATTTAAAAGTTCCAACAACAACAACAAAAAAAAAAACGGGTAAACCAACAAATCAACAGAGAAACTTATTCACCAATTATGAACAAAAAGAGAAACTAAAGTGTACATTATTTTAATGCTTCATGTAACCGTTATATATGTATGTAAATAATTAACGTGTGCTAACTTATCAGATTTCAAGAAAACATTACGATATACGCCCCCCTCGCTCTGTATTGTACTATAACACTTGGTAACTAATGACTTACATTCCGTACAAAGTTTATTATCATTGAACGAGTTAACACATTTTATTAATTTTGTGTAACTAAGTGATAAACTAAAATCAAGTACATTCATCTGTTTATATGGTGAATACAAAGTTGAAATTGGTCGTTATTTTGTTTACTACACGGTAGGTAATGCATAGATATTCATAGATATATATCAGTAGAAATTTCTTTCAGTCTATAAAGAACCAAATAAATAAATAAGACAAATGGGAGTGGAATACAGCATTATAGATAGAAATGTTTTTTTGATTTTAGTGTAGTTCAAAGACGTTAAGCATGAATGATACTGTGATTATGGCTAAATAGATATCTTTATTGTTTATAAAATCTGTGATTTGTACAGTTTTAAGTCTGTAAACTGTTAAGAAAGTGAACGTAAACACGAGAGGAATTAGTTTTTCAGGAGAGGGGGGGGTAAAAGAAAGAAACATTAGACTGTATATAAAAAATTTAAAAAAAGGAAACTTACACTAGACTATTAATGACTTCAATTTTGAATCATATGTCAAGTACTTTTTTTACTGGTAAAGATGTGCCAAAAAATAATTGGAAACTGGATGTAAGTTTATCTTATATCATGAAGTGATTTTGGGAATCTGATGTTTATCTAATTGTTATAACTTGTGCCTTTTGTCCTATTAATGTATAATGTAATCGACCGGACAAATGACGCATAAAAACAAGTACGAGCAATCTCGAGTCCTTACCAGTCCAGCTTCTTGCCTAGCCCTGCTTCTTCAGTCCAGAACACCAATCTCAGCCACTGAGATATGAATCACTTATCCCAAACATACTGGGTTTATAAACCAACTAAAAAGACCATATCGTACCATAAAATAGGAAACAACATTTGTACAAGATTTAGTCAAATGTGACTGTGAATGTGGGAGACTGTAATTAATAAACTGGGAATAGTAAATCGTATAATAATAGTTCATAGGTCAAAATAAAGCTCATAATTAGAAGGACATGAGTATGAATAGTTTAGTTACTTAACAATTTTACGATAAAAATATACGTCTAGCATTAGTCCATAAATGGATTCCAAAAGTTACCATTCATTATTCTCATTGGGATATAACACTAAATCACTTAATCAGTTTTAGTGTTAACACTCGATATGGATTCACAGTGGAAATATATCTTCACAAATCATAATCATCTGTTTACTAGTGATTAATTTCAAGAGGTATTCCTTAGAGCTTTAGTGAGAAGCTATAACCAGTACAGTTTAATCATTGTCTAGGTGAGAGATTTACCCACTAATAGGTTTGACTGATGGTTGGGTAACATCACAAGTTGTTTAGAGTGAAAAACGTCAACCACTGTACGTCAAATTCATTGATTTATAGGTTAAATGTTTTTTGCAAGACTTGAAAGTCTGGAGTTTAATCTCCGGTTGAGAGGTCATGGACGTGTATTACTGATTAGTCCCATATTAAGATGAAACATCGATCCAGAGATTGACTTGACACTAAAACTTTATCAAATAAGTGGATATTGAAGTAATAGTAATATGTTTATTTTTCAATAAAGTAATTAAGTGTAATTTACCAAATAAATACCAAAGTCCTACAGGGGATTAGTCACAGACCGAATAGTTCAGAATTAACATCTCAAATGTTATGTGCATTCGAATTCTGTGGAGGGAGGGAGTATCAGTTACATAAAAGTTTCAGTTACACCAATCTGAAAAGTATCAACCAGTCTAAAATCTATGTTCAGGGTTTTTCTGCCGACTCTCACTATAACTTAGGACACCAAAAACTAATCCACACAATGTTTAGTCACTTCGACTAGTGGGTATATTGCAATTTGATCAATAGGATTTGGTCAGTACTAAGGGTATATACACAAATACGAAATCGGTTACTACTCAGTAATAAAGAAGTTAGTGGAATGTTGGTCTGAATTAAAACAGATATCTACCATTGTAAATTTTCTTCTAACAAGCCAATAATTCTAGACTCTAATTTGTCTAAAACTTTTTAAATACATTGATATGTTGACAGTGAAAGTAAATATGTTTGGCCACCGAAAGTGAAATGACAAACACAGATTACTAACTACTTCGTATTTAGTGATTTTCTTTCCATTATTGATTTCAGCTCTGGATTCACTGAATGTAAACTGCTTGATATATTACATTCAATAAAGAATTGTCTACTCTAT